AGAAAAGACGGTAAAAAAAAAAAAAAGGTAAAAAAAAAAAAAGTGTATGTCCAGCATAACAAAAATTCCAAACAAGGAGAGAGCGTAATAAGTCACCCATGCAGCTGTAATTACATCTGCTGTGGAAGTAGTTTAGCCAATAACTGAAAGTCAAACGTACTGTATGGGAGCATTATTTCTTATATACCTGCATAACAATTAAAAAGTATTGTTTTAGTCCTGAGAGAAAAAACCCCAAAACACAATATTAATCCCAAGCATGGGGTGTGTGTGGGGGGGGTACACAGAGCACATTTATGTCTTAACATTACACTTTCAGAAAACACCAAAACCTTCATCACCAAACTATGTTTATTAATGCAATCATTCCCTTTATGTGCCCCCCCCCCCCTCTTTCTTTCTGTGCTCATTTCCTGGCAGTTAAATTAAATCTTCCTTCAAGAATTCCAGGACTGTCACCACAGCTTGTCTAATCATCTATATACAGCACAGTCATGTGACCCTGCCAGACATGTCATTAGTGGCAATGAAAGACACATAACCCAGAATGGCCTTATGTACAACTACACATTTCAGCAGCATGGCCTCACCCAGGACGGGTCACATCAGTTACTTGTTTCCGCAGTACATCATGCACTATGATACTGACCAGAAATTTGCTCTGCTTCCCTAAAATCAATTTTTTCAGGTTTTAAAACATGCATAGGCACAGCCTGAAATCTGAGTTATATTCCAACACCTAAAATAGATTTTTGTAACTTAAAATCCCTTTCTTGGATTCCATAGAATGACAATGAATTTAGCACCCTGGCATCTGCTGCACATACTTGTGTGGTCCCTCACCAGCCCATGTATGACCCTGCAGTATGTAATGAGCATAATGCTCGCAAATCGTGAGTGCTCATTGTTCATTCCAGTCACATGAACATGCCGAACAATGAGAAGTGCTTCTAAACTGGGGATCAGGTCCCAGAAATAAGCAACTGTAATTGTACATCATTGTCATTTGCATGTGCTGACAAATGAGTGATCACCATTGCAAAGCATTAAGCTCATTACATCCTGCGAGGCTGTGACTGTACCCCAGACGGACGGGGAAATCACAGGTATGTGCAGAGGTTCCCGGACAGGTGGCAGTGGGGTGTTGGTAAGTTCATTTCTTTACACTTTACCAGAAAGTGACCTTACCCATTAAGCTTTTGGGACATCCAAAAGAGCAGTCCAACCGAGGTGTGTGCAATACAGCAATCAATTGTTAACAGGCCCAGCATAAAATACAGGAAGCCAAAGACTGCCAGCAGATCAGAGAGCCAACTGAAACAGACATCAGATGAAGCAGAAAATTCCACTTGGTAGTACTGGAACGTGGGAACAGAAGACCAGGTGGAAGCCGTACAAAGCTGGGACCTGCTGCCAACTGAGTGAAATTAACCCTAAAAAGGGGGACGATGAGGTTAAAAAAAATGATCTGTGTGAGCTACCTAGAGGGTAAAAAATAGTCTTTATGAAAGAAGCAGCCTCACTCAGAAGAGACCCTCACTCAGCCCAAACCAGATCCAGACACTGGGAGGAAAAACTTCCATGTGCTGAACCGGAGCCAGACCAAAGAGACGGGAATATAAGTCCTGGAACCATATAGCAGACTCCCTGCACAAAGATACAGAAATAATGGCCAATAGTTTCAGAAAAAGCAAAGACTAGACCCTTGATGGTGCAGAGTGAAGTAAGTCCAGATCTAACTGCAGGAAGGTGGGAAGGGATATTTCATTGGTGAAGGGACCATATCGTCCAAAGCTTCAAACATCGGGAGACCAGATTCCTTCACGTACCAAGTTCCCTGCACAGAGAAGGTGCTAGGAATCCACCGCCAACCAACCAGCTTGTGTGTGTTACAAGAAACTTCCAAAAGACAGAATACAGAGCTTCTTTAATGCGGTTCTGCCAGTCCCAATACTCTTCCACTGGATATGAATCACATTCTTCCAGCATTCCTCTACTTTCACCCACAAGAATACTTTCCTTGCAGGGATTACATCTGATGGGACCTCTGGGAACGTGAGAGCTGGCAGCCTGATTTCCCTCCATTGTGATTTGGGCTGCATGAGTTCCTTTCTGTCCCAGTTTCTTCAAGGCTCAGGCAGACTATTGTTCAGGCCTAGGGCTGAGGCGGCAGAGAAGTTAGAGAACCCAAGCACACCCAACTGAGCCAAGAAGGACCCCATAGAGGAGAAAAAAACCCCCAGAACAACAGCATGACTCTAGGCATAGGCACCATCAGTAGGCGCACTGCAAGCAGCCCCAAAACCATTAGTAGAAAATTGTGCTGGGGGCTCCTAGTACAGCAGGACTGTCACCAACCCCATGCCCCTTAAAATGTAAAATCCTTTGTTACAACCAGAGAGCTGTTAGACAACATACACACACAAAGGGTAAGAGGCAAGGCCTCAAATGAATGCAAATCCACACGGTAGCAGTTTTACTATATTGTGTAGGCAAGGGAAGTGAAAGGAGACTGGATAAAGCCATAGCCCATGTAGCTTATCTTACTATAATTAGCATTTCCTTAGGCATCTGCACAGCAAAGTTTTTCGTTATCATGATCTAAATCTCATTTGGGCAACAGTTCCTCTAGTCATTACAATTAAAAGACACAGATTTGTTCTATTCTGTTGCCAGCACATAAGAGGCACCCTCATGTGACAAATGACTCACCACCATACCAGTCACTAATTTGCACAAAAGATTTTCATGAGTCAAGCGACTTCAAGTGCCACAAAAAAACAAACAACCTTCCAGACAACAAAATGTAAAAACAATGTTTTCAGTTCAATCTGATATACTGTATATAAATAGGATTTGGTCCTTACGGTAAAATCCTGAGTCCATTGAGGGACACGGCTAGCTCCCTCCCTTAATTTCTTTTCATACGGCTTGCTACAAATGGCAGGCTTTTCATTTGTTGCCTATTGTTCCATTTTCCTGGAGGCAGCAGCAGAACACTATTAGAATTCTTGGGAGCGGTGTCCCTCAATGAATAGAGAAATTCCATATGCCCTCAAGACATCAAATGCAAAGCAAGAACCAAAACTAGACTTTAAAGCATGATTTACTGAAGTGCTGTGAATATTCTAGTTATCTATTGTACACATGACTGAAAAAAAAATGGTCATCAAATTACATACACAGCTGACTGATGCATAAAGGCTTTGGCCCTATGCTCCTCAAATGGAGCAGGATATACGACTGATGCAAAAAATAGATATATCAGGAGAGGGATGTAGTTGGGTCTTCCAACATGTACTTAGTGGAAAGGCCATTGTGATCTGAAATTACATGCCACAAACACAAGGAAGTATTAAAATGTTTATTTGTAATATAAAGATAAGAACTAAAATGTTTATTACCTTCTAAAACTTGGCAAATGTAAGAGCTGCTTCAAAACTGAACTTCAGGCAGATATAAAAACACACATTGCAGCTATGTATTCATTGCTAAATCATTCAAATGTATTTTTAAATACCAGCAGTGCGGTACCGGAACTTACATTTGTATCACCCTCTTGCAGTCCCTGTACAGAACTCGGATTGAAAGTGGAAGGAGAACCACAATCAGACAATTTAGACTGGAATGATCTGTGCCAACAAGGGACACCGACAGAAAAATTGAGAGATGAGCTCATTCGTTTGCTGCTTATCCTTTGACTGTCCAATCACAGGCTGGGTAAGGGGCAAAACCTGCGTGCTTGCAAAATCATGTCTTACCCCTGCCAAACATGTTGGGGCTGTGCAAATTTTAGGACAGACCTGCAAATCCTTTGGCTTGTAAAACCACTCAGATGTGTGCATTTTATCTATGCATCAAGCAGTTTGCCTGAAAAAACAAAATCACATCCAAAAAAGCCCCAAACCAACCATCATGAACTCTTACAGATAAAGGAATCCAAGACCAAAAAATGAAGTGTAGTGAGATGAAAATTAGAAAAGCAAAAAGCATACATGGGAATTTAATGTATGTTTATTAAAACATTTAACTGTACACTAAAATGTTTAAAACAAAAAATGAAAATGTTATAGCTAATATTTACAAAGACTTTACATTAACCCCTTGTAGTATTTGCACGTCTCCCAAAAATACTTATAAAACACAGACTTTACACTACATTTCTTTTCCCTCCCCTAGTATTTTGTTTTCCTCTCAGGTTCCTCTAGAACACCTTTAAAAAAACTTGCATTATCAGATGCACTTTTAGATCTTAAATCTGTCAGAAAATTTAGGGGTTTTTGGAACGGTGAGGGGAATATCGCTTGTTTTCACATCCACGGGTTTGAACTTCCTGACTGGCTGAGCCTTGTGGACCTAAATAGAAAGTAGAAGAGAAGTGTTAAAACATAGTATATGTCATTTGCCGTTTTTGATTTGGTAGGGTCACAAACTAGAAGTCTTCATTTGCAATGCGGGGACAGCGCCTGGGCTTCTCGTGTGTCTCCCATAAGTGAGAGACTCTGTATTAGGGAGCACATTTATCAGAGGTGCCTTTAAACAGCGGTGTCGCACCCACATACATTTGCAAATGTATGCAACTAAGGTTTCTGTTTACTTAAATAGTTAAAACTAGGGATGCACCAATACCGGTTCCTCGGTATCGGGTACGAGTACCGATATTTTTATTTTGGTACTCGCCGATACCTATACTTCCGGTGGCATAGAGCCGGCTTCCCGGACAATCAATCAGGCAGCGTGATATTACCCACCGCCCGGCTTCTTGATTGCCCGGGAAGCCGACTCCATTCTGTTTAGCGGGCCCCATGCTGATTGGCTGGGAAGCTGGCTTCCTGGCCAATCAGCATTGAGTCTGGCCAAAAAGATCTGACAATATGGTGACAGGACCCCCACCCTGCAGACACCTCAATGCCCTCACATAGTTCCAAGCTCTCCGGGATCTGCCCACGTCTCCTGTGTACAGCGCCCACCTGATTGGCCCTCAGCCTGCTACTGCGCAGACTGCCCAGCGCTCTCAATCAGAAATCCGGTGCATGCGCAGTAGCACGCTGTGGGCCAATCACCTGGGCGCTGTACACACAGGAGATGAGGGCAGATCCGGGAGAGCAGTGTCTGCCCAGCAGGCCGAGGGACTGCTATGGTAATGACTGTTGCTAAGGATCTATACGAGGGGAATGATTTGTCTGCAGGGTGGGGGAGTTGCGTCGCCATATCAGATTTGTTTGCCCGGCTCGACACTGATTGGCTCGGAAGCCGGCTTCCCGGCCAACCAGCATTGAGCCAGCTTCCCGGCTCCATTTTCCCTCGCGGCATTGCCAGTCAGAGGAAATCTTCCGCTGACTGGAAGTTCCAGTATCGGGAAAAGTATCGGAGCATGTGGCAAGTACGAGTATGCATCATTGCAATCTTACCAGATAACTGCAGAACAAAACAATTGCAACAGGGGGAAGAACAAAAATTACACCGACAGGGGCTTTAGCCTCCCTGTGCTTTTCCCCGCTCTTTTTGCAGCTTCACTTCCTGTCTGGTAAAAAAGGTTGTCTATGGGACAGTTACTAAGGGAAAATCTTAGTAACAGAGTCCTGCATGGGCAGGGATAGAAGGGGGGAAGAGAGAGGTAAGGTTTCCTGCAATGCTAGGGTTGTGTTGTGTTGCAGAACTGAATGTAAATGAAATCTGTTAAAAATCTTTCTCGTTAGTGATGAACCGATACTGGTATCTGTATAAGTGCCAAATAGAGTATTTGGGCGAGTACTCACGCTACAAAACGCTCAGATTAGCCCGATAACAGAACTTCCAGTCAGAAGGAGATTCCCTCTGACCAGCAGTGCTACGTGGGAGCATGGAGCCGGCTTCCTGGCCAATCAGGAAGCCGGGTCATGACATGCCGCCCAGCTTCTTTCTATAGAACACCGGCCCACCAGGCAATCAGTAAGCCGGGCTGTAAGATTCTTGATAAGCCGGGCCCACAGTACCCAGGGATGCCAGTATCAGCGAGTCCTGAAAAATATCGGTACTCTATTCCCATAAACCGGTATCAGTGCATCCCTAACACACATGTATTTAGATTTGTTTGGAGTTTATTTTGAATACCACACATGGGAGATGCCTACCATTTCATGTCTTAACCGGTTGATCTCCTCCTGCTCTTCCTCTTCCTGCCGCCTACGTTCCTCCTCTTCAATAAGACTTTTCTGAGTCTCCAGCTCTGCTAGACGCCTCTCAAACTCCTGGCGCTCCTTGGCACGCCTCTCTGTTGCCAACTCAAAGCCTTCCTGAACTATGGAACCAGAAAGGCTCTCTAAGTTTAGAAACAAAAGGGAAGAAAATTGGTGCAACAAGGAGAAAGGAGGACACTGCTGGTGGGTCATTATCTTCAAATCTGATTTTTCTGGTTTTATCATGATCTAGGACATAAATGACTTAGTTATGTCCTATTAGCAGTGCCCTGCAAGCTCCTCACCACCACATAAGTACCAAGAAACCCATAATGTGTCAAAGAAAAACTTGTGCCAATCAAGATTTATTATTGGAGAGGTCTGAACTTAGAGGGTCCTTACCTGTCAAGAGTCGGCTTTCCTTCTTGGGCACAAAAGGCTCCTGATGGGTTACAGTATTAGGCCGTGCTTTGAACGTGGACATTTCCTTTTGCTGTTTAAGTTCTTCTTTAAGCTGGATAGATATAAAAACATAAGCCAAAGTAATTTACTATCAAAATTAAAACTGTCCTGAAAAGAGGAAACAAAATCTCATGTGTTAAATTACATCTTTTGGGTCAAAGAGCGCAGTGTCTGCCCCTCCCCTGTCTGTCCCTCCAATGAGTGCTGGAGTAAGAAAGGGGAGGAGGAAATTTCTGCGGGGAGCATTGACTGATGGTCACAGTTCTCTGCAGGGAGAAGACCGTGAGCTGAGCGATCAGCAGCTTGTGATCACTCAGCTCTCAATCTATAGAGCCGGCATGTGACAGCTGCAATGTCACATGCCAGCTTTAAGTATTGGGAAGAGTACATTTTACTCTCCCAGTATTTCTCCTTTACCAGGTTGTTTGATTTTAAAAACCTGCAGCCATCCTGTAAAACACTGATCCTGCCAATAAGAACTTTGTTCAGGTGCTTCCTGTTATGGGGTGACAATCGCCTCCCAGTTGTATTTGTGTGTTGCTCCTCCTGAAAAATGTTCACCCACCACAATTTAGTATTTGTTTAAACGATTGCATGTTATGTCCAGGCAAGTATAATAAAACCCTGTTTGGCCAATAAGCGTGTACAGGTGTAGGTGAACATCCTCAGAAACCCAACTCATCATCAAGTTTATTAAAATAGATTCTGGACAGAGGTATTGCTAAACTCTGCTATCCTCACCTGATGTTTCCAAACATGAAGCTTTGCCTCTCCTCGTTTATCAATCTCCAAATTAAACGGCTCTGGTTGGGTTTTCTCCTTCACTTTCTTCTCAGGAAGACTGATCTGGTCGAAATCGGGTAGAGGCTGAGCCTTGAATGTGGGAGCCTGGAAAAAAAATGCCCATTAGGTTTAGAATCTATAAAAAGGATAAAGTCAGTATATTATTCAACACAATCAAATATCTTAATTACATCAGCATGGCGAAGTTCTTCAAGTTTTTTCTGTTTTTCTTCCATCCTGTGGCGGTCGCGTTCGCTAAATGAGAAGGGACACGCTTCCATTGGTTTCTGCTCCACTAACTTTGGCTTGAAGGGGACTCCAAAAAAAGGCATTGGATTGGCTTTGATGATAGGGACTGGCTCCTCCTGTAAAAACAAGCAACACGTGAAATTATATTTTCAGAAGTTCTTCTGCTGTACAACCAGATTCTGGAGGTCATACTTCTGGTGTATGAAAGACTTAAAAAAATCTTGTTCTGGCCTAAAATGTGCCAAAGGCAATACTAATTACAAGCACCTGTGTTAACTTCAGAAACCCAGTAAAGCCTACTGATTCTAAGGTCAGGTTTTAGGACCCATTCACACTGCACCCAGATCATCTCCAGACCAGACCGTTTCCAGACCCTAAATGCATCCTAATGCATCCCTATGCTATTTTTGGCCTCTGTTCACACCAGCGCAGTCAGTTCCAGAACAGAGAAATACTGCACGTCTCATTGTCTGGTCTGCACTGAAAAGCAGCAACAACGCATGGAATGCATTTGACCCCATTTTGTGCTAAAAAAATAAAAAAGCTCCGGAACGCGGCAATATCACAACGCACTGCATTCCTGATCTGGTCCGGGAAATGAACCCAGCCTTACAAGGGGCCACAGCATCCAAGCACCGATAAAACTCAAGTGTTTGTCACGCGTTAAGAAATACCACTCAATCTAAACAAAATTTGTTTTGGATGGAATGGTACAAGTCAAACCTACTTAAGATTTAGTTTCCTGCGTCCTTGTAAAAATCCAACCATTGGGGATCCAATATTTCAACCCATCCACCATTCTGTAGATTGAGAGGTAGAGATAAAAAACCATCCCCCTCCATAGACAGAAGAACCCAGACCTTCACTTACCTTTTGTTCCTCTGAGGAAATCATACGAACTCTGTTCTTTAGTGCAAAAGCTGGAGATTGTGGCACAGTTACAGGAAGCTGTTTCTTTTCAGGAACACCCTAAGAAATGCAAGAATATTGAAAAATCACATTTTTTGTTAAACAGCAAGGAACCAATTTGAATTCTTTTTTTTCTTCTTTTGGTTCAGGAGCAGCATATATTGCTGTATGATGTAGTGCTGGGATTTGTAGTCTTCCATAGCTGGAGGTATTCTTCATTGCTGTATAATGTATTGCTGAGATTTGTACTCCTCTATGGCTGGTGGCATTTAAATAGCTATATAATTTATTATTGAGATTTGTAGTCCCTCTCCAGCCTCGAGTCAGTGGCAGAACTACCAGGGTCGAGGCGGTCACAACTGCAACCGAGCCCTGGTGCTTAATCATTGTACTAAGATCGTTTTTAGAAAAACTGTTACAAAAGTATTGGCAATTGGAATTGACAAATACTTGAGGAAAAGTAAATCTGTATTTGTACTCTGAAAAAAGTACCAACGAAAAATGCTTGTTATAGAGAAGCGCTTTTCATATGTCGGTGTGGTCAGGTGACTATGCCGATCAATGAGTGCTCACCATTAGTGAACTTTATTGGTGCAGAGCTGCAGTTTGGTGTACAGACCATACACCGGCTGTGGCGGAGGGGAGAGGGAATGACTTTCCCCAAAAGGTATGACCAGCAGGGGTGGGGAGAGGGGGCAGACCTGAGGAAATAAGTCTATCCTGGAAAACTAGCAAAAAAAAGCAGTGGGATGGGTTATACCCTGGGCTGGCCTACAGATTTGCCAGTGTCCAATCAGGAGGATCCCCTAATCAAACGTGAAGAGAAATTTTAGAGGAAACCAGAGCTGCTAGCAACTAATCAATAATGAGAATAGTCGTCAACTACTCATTGATTAGTTGTTTGGATCCCCCAGCTCTCTCCTTCATGCTGGGAGGAGAGCACAGCAAGCAGGGGGGGGATAGATGGCCTACAGATTTGCCAGTGTTCAATCAGGAGGATCCCCTAATCAAACGTGAAGAGAAATTTTAGAGGAAACCAGAGCTGCTAGCAACTAATCAATAATGAGAATAGTCGTCAACTACTCATTGATTAGTTGTTTGGATCCCCCAGCTCTCTCCTTCATGCTGGGAGGAGATAGCACCTGTGTTAACTTCAGAAACCCAGTAAAGCCTACTGATTCTAAGGTCAGGTTTTAGGACCCATTCACACTGCACCCAGATCATCTCCAGACCAGACCGTTTCCAGACCCTAAATGCATCCTAATGCATCCCTATGCTATTTTTGGCCTCTGTTCACACCAGCGCAGTCAGTTCCAGAACAGAGAAATACTGCACGTCTCATTGTCTGGTCTGCACTGAAAAGCAGCAACAACGCATGGAATGCATTTGACCCCATTTTGTGCTAAAAAAATAAAAAAGCTCCGGAACGCGGCAATATCACAACGCACTGCATTCCTGATCTGGTCCGGGAAATGAACCCAGCCTTACAAGGGGCCACAGCATCCAAGCACCGATAAAACTCAAGTGTTTGTCACGCGTTAAGAAATACCACTCAATCTAAACAAAATTTGTTTTGGATGGAATGGTACAAGTCAAACCTACTTAAGATTTAGTTTCCTGCGTCCTTGTAAAAATCCAACCATTGGGGATCCAATATTTCAACCCATCCACCATTCTGTAGATTGAGAGGTAGAGATAAAAAACCATCCCCCTCCATAGACAGAAGAACCCAGACCTTCACTTACCTTTTGTTCCTCTGAGGAAATCATACGAACTCTGTTCTTTAGTGCAAAAGCTGGAGATTGTGGCACAGTTACAGGAAGCTGTTTCTTTTCAGGAACACCCTAAGAAATGCAAGAATATTGAAAAATCACATTTTTTGTTAAACAGCAAGGAACCAATTTGAATTCTTTTTTTTCTTCTTTTGGTTCAGGAGCAGCATATATTGCTGTATGATGTAGTGCTGGGATTTGTAGTCTTCCATAGCTGGAGGTATTCTTCATTGCTGTATAATGTATTGCTGAGATTTGTACTCCTCTATGGCTGGTGGCATTTAAATAGCTATATAATTTATTATTGAGATTTGTAGTCCCTCTCCAGCCTCGAGTCAGTGGCAGAACTACCAGGGTCGAGGCGGTCACAACTGCAACCGAGCCCTGGTGCTTAATCATTGTACTAAGATCGTTTTTAGAAAAACTGTTACAAAAGTATTGGCAATTGGAATTGACAAATACTTGAGGAAAAGTAAATCTGTATTTGTACTCTGAAAAAAGTACCAACGAAAAATGCTTGTTATAGAGAAGCGCTTTTCATATGTCGGTGTGGTCAGGTGACTATGCCGATCAATGAGTGCTCACCATTAGTGAACTTTATTGGTGCAGAGCTGCAGTTTGGTGTACAGACCATACACCGGCTGTGGCGGAGGGGAGAGGGAATGACTTTCCCCAAAAGGTATGACCAGCAGGGGTGGGGAGAGGGGGCAGACCTGAGGAAATAAGTCTATCCTGGAAAACTAGCAAAAAAAAGCAGTGGGATGGGTTATACCCTGGGCTGGCCTACAGATTTGCCAGTGTCCAATCAGGAGGATCCCCTAATCAAACGTGAAGAGAAATTTTAGAGGAAACCAGAGCTGCTAGCAACTAATCAATAATGAGAATAGTCGTCAACTACTCATTGATTAGTTGTTTGGATCCCCCAGCTCTCTCCTTCATGCTGGGAGGAGAGCACAGCAAGCAGGGGGGGGATAGAAATAGCCAGCCTGCTTTTATAACCAAGCTGAAGCTATTCTGCACATAAATATATATATTATGCTGTGGGAGGTGCATTGCAGTGCCATTTATTGAAATGGCACCCCAAACGCACCTCCCACCCATATACTGTGATTGTTCACACTGAAACGCACGGTACCGAATGTTATGCATTCCAGTGCAACAGGAAAAAAATTGTGCATGCATTTTTATTCTGAAGTAAACTATGTTTGTAACAATGTTTGTGTATTTTATTTTAAATTAAGGATGGCAATTTTTTTTTATCCATGAAACGTCCTGGTTAAGTTTTTATTTGCCTACCGAATGCATGTTTTTTCATCTTGGTTAAAGGCACAAAAAAAAAATTCTTCTACATATGGCATTGTAGAACAGTTGCCAGCTGAAGTTGTATAGCTAGCTCCCACCATCTTAATTGCAGAGTACTTACCATCACATCCTTTAACATCTTAGTTGGGCATGGCCTTGAATGGAAGGTGAATATCTCCTCATCCTCTACATCTTTCTTCTCACGCTGTTGAATTCGTTTTTCTATTTCCAAATTAAAGCCGACTGCCTTGGTGGGCTCTTTTACAGGGGGCTTCTTTGTTAAGAGAGATCCTCCCTCCAAAACCTTTGGATTGAGCTCTTGGGCTTTGAACTTGTATCTAAAGGCAATACCACATGTCAGTGGAGACAGTTAAGAACATCCATGTTTTGGTATGGTAATGTCATAAAATGCATGAAGGGAAAAAAAAAAAAAAGAAGTACAGCTTTTCACCAACAGCAAACATGCTAAATAAGAACCCGTCATTCATTTCAACAAAAATCTCATCAAAAGTCCTCATTTAATTTAGGTTATGCAAGTTATTTAGCTGTGAAATACATGTTAAAGTGTAGACATAAAGCCTCGAGACCAGTGCTGTATGCTGCCATCTGGAATGTGATGTCATCCCCAAAAGACTTGCTTCCCCCCGGCAGCTACACAAAAAGTTGTGTGAGGAGGTGAGCGGAAGAGCTGGGCCAGCACAGTAACGTGACCTCCTAGAAGAGGAGAGAACTATGACATCCAAGGAGGTAGGGAGGCTGCAGTAGGGAATTTACTCTTCCTGGAGTAATCTTACTTTCTAGCTAGTTCAAAGTTCCTTCCATTAAATCTGCCCGTTGACTTTCCAGTAAAAAGCAGGGGACGTCCCCATAAGAATCCCCTCCCCCTCCTTGTCATATTGAGGAGGCAGTAGGATTCCTGCTTATGTGTGGGCAACTAGTTAGTTCATCACTACACCTTTATAAAGACAAACATGTCAGACTACCCTTTCCTTCTAAACATTTTTCATACACAAGACCCTAATCTACATCCAGCCTGCCATGCAAGCCTCATGTTTACTTACTGCTGTAGCTTGTCAAGTTCTTCCGCCTCAAGCTCAGCTGAACTCTTGCAATTTGTTGGCCGATGTCGCTGCTTAGTCTGAAGCTGAGGAGTCTTTGGGATAGTCACCCTAGCCTTCAGTGGTTTTAGTGGAGATGGTCCTAGATTTAAAAAAAAAAAGGAAACCCAAAAATGTAAAAATTGGACATGCAGAAATGAAACCAAACAAAGCACCTTATAAAACGTGGTGCTGAATAGTCATGTTTCCACACAATGAAGCAGTCTGACATTGCACAATTCATTTACCTTCATTCTCCCTTAGCCGGCTGCGTAGATGGAATCTTTGTGGGGTTTTTTTCTGGAAGGCCAACACTTGCTCAGCAGTGGACGTATAATCTACACTGGTGGATTCCTCGTGTTTCCTTTTGTTGCTCTTGGAGAGGTTGAAGGGTTTGGGCACAGTACGGGCCATTTTGTGCTTATGAAAAAATGAAAGTGAACCTATCGTTAAAAATCCAACTCCACTCAGATCATCACATTAAAGTGGATCTGTTACCAAGACTTAAACTTTAGGCCACATGCATTACCAAATTAGGATCTATTCAAACTATACATATTACCATGTGAAGCTATGTGCTGAAAGCGCACCTTAACGCTTCGCTGACTGGCTTCTATGCACACGTCATAATCCACATTTTAGGCCTGAAACTTAGGTAAAACCCTCAAGAGTTATACATTTCCTGAAAGCATAGACCTGTATAATAAAAAATGGTGGCAGCTGCAAATTTTTACATTGCATGATATTAGCGCAACTCTATCAAACCAAAATTTTTAATTAAAGCCTAAAATATGAGGTTACGCTGAGTAAATAGATACCCAACATGCCAAGCTCCAAAATGTGGGCCCCGCAAAACAGCAACAAAATATGGTACCCCAAATTGTCCATAGGCAATGCTTTAAGACTGTACAGGTCATCAGTTTAGAGTTACCTACATAATAGGCGTAGATTAGTGGTGACAGGTTTTCTAAGGTGACATTAGGGGTCCTAGACCCCTATTACCTTTCCACTTGAAAAAAGCTAATCAAATATAGATTTTGCTCTCTCAAGAGATGGCTTCTTTTGCCAGGGAAGCATAGCTGAGGAACCAGAAGCGATGCAAATAGCATCGCTTCCGGCTCCATTAAGCGGGGGAGGAGATTGGCGCATATGTTCTATGGTCTCTACCCTCCTCTAAACGCCAATGCCTATGATGCCATTCCCGGCCCCACAGGAGGGGGCAAAGGAGCTTGGGAAGTAGGGTTCACTTTTCACTGGCCCTGGAAGCGATCTGGCTGCAGTTCAGCCAGCAGAATCCCTTCGGTATAAATCCAATCCTGACTATAGTTGCCAGGAGTGTTTACAGGGGCCCACTGCCAGTGACTTCTGGCATACGGCATTGGCAATAAAGGTGTTAAAGCTGCTCATTTTGTCTAGGAGTTGATTAAGATTCCCTGCTGCCACATACTCTCCACAGCCTAACAATGTCCCTGGGCTGCTGGCAGGCCTTCTGCAGCCCAAAATACAATGCAAGACTGCTGGGTCCTGCATTGTAAACAAAAACAGAGCAGCAATTGGTTAAACAATGGAAAGGGGACCAGTCACATGACGAGATGCAAGCATGTGGGACCTTATGTCCTCCCCTTGACAAAACATGTAGTCAATTCTTGTGGGAACCCACTGCAAAGGGAAAGGAATCCCCAAATAGAGTTTTTACATTAAAAGGAAAACCCCAGAAAATCCAACTGTTAGGGACAGTGGCAGGTAAGTAATGTGCCCTGATGTCCTTTCCAATTATATTACCTGGAGATCTCCAGGATTAGGAGTGGAAAAAAAGGTTACTTTAGAAGGTCTCACCGGAGATGGTGGATGCTTTCTAAGTTCAGCAGTGAAATCCATTTGCTTGTATTCTGTTTGCTGTTCTTCTGGATGCCGTTTGAAACGTTCATCAGTGTAGAAGTGGAAGTCTACAGGCTTCGTAGTCTGAATGGGTACCTTCTTCATTGGTTGATCTAAGAATAAAAAGAATTTAAAAAAAGCCAGAGTTCAAATCCCTAAATGCACAGAATGTGGCACCTTGGGAATATACTAAGTATGCTGTAAAACAAAACTATAATATCTGCAAATCAGGTGCAAGCATTGTTATTTACCAAGATTCAAACTCCTGACTTCAAATTCAGGTCTAAACTTGGGCTGGTTGCTGTAAAGCTGCAGATTTTCTTACAACATTCACTTTGTGCTATATCTACTACAGAATCCTACTGACTTACTGGTCATTCTGTAAGAAGAGAACCATTACCGTTTTTTCTTTCAATTTTTATACAAGTATAGATGGAAGCACACCCATTTACTTTTTCCTTTTCTACAAAATGAGCTGAAATACCAGAGCACTGTTCTAGGCTTTAAAATGACTTCAGGCCCAAAAACGGTCCATATTCTGAAATCTGCACCTTCACATTATTTGATTCTCAAGAACAAGCCAGCTTATGGCAAAACCCAAAACATACAAACCTCCTGCTAAAACAGATTTCAGGGACTCCTCGTTCTTTTTCAGCATCTCAGCCATTTCCTTCTGAAGCATCTGTACCTTCTCGAGTTCCTGCTCCTCTGAATTCTTCCCTTTCTGTGTCATAATTTTGCGCCTGGTGAAACAAACATTCTATAATGCCTTTGGTCAACATTTCAATGCAAGAACAACTAGACCCCAGGTAAACTGGTAACTTTAGTCTATGGGAGGGGTGGTTTACATTTTGATTTTAAACTGGTTAGCCTAGTAGTCTTTGGGTGCTTTTATCTGCTGAAGTAGGCATCCAGAACTATTTGGTAATGGACAGCTGTAACATCATTGGAAGTGATTGGGAGTCATGTCTGTGCCCCATTTTATAGCTGTAATGTGAGGAGAAAGATGAAAGCGACTTAAGAAGGTGAACATGCTCCCTGTTTGCAAAGTGTCTGAGCCGCCAATTACTAGCAGTGCCATGTGGGAGGAAGGAGAGTGCATCATATGCTTGCTAAACTTTTTAGTACTTGGTATTTAACTTCAATCCTGGCAGCAGAACGCAGTGTTCAGGGAACTCAAGAAATTCAACTGTTTTTAGTGGGGTCAGCATAAAAAAAAAAATATTGATGTGCAGAGCATGGGATAAACTCAGGCTCATGTAAAGTCTCATATTAGCATCCAGGTGGCTTACTTAAGAACTGTAGGAGTGGCGGGTAAAATCTTGGCTCTTTTTTTCGGAGACCCTTCAGCAACACTTGTGGACAGACCTTTGTTGATTGTGGTGTCTGTGGATTTGCATCTTGCTGAAGACCTTGGGGGGGACAATGATATATATTAAAATCATGACATTCATTGTGCCAAAAACTTGCCAAAAAAAACAAACTTACAGCTTAGGTCTTTTCATAGGAGGTTGCTCTTGCTTGGGAGCCACTTTCTTTCGCTCAGCCCTGATTTTTGCCATTTGGCGGCTCCTCTGTTGGGCTGATAAACGCTTGGAAGACCTTAAGAAATAGACACAACGAGTAGGAAAAATCTTCCAAGTTAAAGTGGACATCCAGATAGATTAAAAATAACCATTGAATTATCAAATAGTTCTTTTCTTAAAATTATCAAAACAAAACCAACTATTAGTGCTTAGCAGCTAGAATTTGTCATGTATGTGTTGCCATCTCTCTCTCTTCCTGTGAGGGTCATGCATTTTCTATTCTAGTGACCAGTGTTTCCAAAACAAAGTGGCAAACCAATTACAATGGCACCCCATGGCATGCAGCGCAACAGGTAGTACCACAAGAATACCACAAAAAGTAATGCATGCACTATTTGTCAACTGCAGAGTATTGTGGAACCGCGTGAGCTGTAATGCATGCCGACCAGGAAGCGTCATGGGGTGCTATTCAAATTAATGGCAATACAATGTATCAGCACACCTAGAGTGCAGTGCGCTGTGTGATGGTGTGCCATAAACGCACAGACTTTGTGCATTTAGCTCAATGCTATGGGGTGAATGAGCCCTCGGCTGTAAGTGAAGTCTGCCCACATACAAAATACACTCAAACAGCTGGATTTTTCCCCCCCTTCTATTAGCTGAAAGCACAGACAATAGAATAATAAAAAATACCTATACAAGACTGATTTAAGAACTGGGAGCTCGCTAAAAGAATACTTGTGGTAGTTCTTTACCCCAACACCTTGTTAGGTTTACGAATTATTAAAACCTCCGAAGATCTCCTAGTATAGCGTCATTTAGATAAAATCTGACAGTGTAAAAACGTCTAACAAGTAAAAGTATACTTTGTGATATACACTTAACACAAATATAATAGAAATAATTTTCAAAAACATACACAACCAATATATAGCGTATATGAAGTATATGCTGCAACAAAATCTTTAGGCAGCCCAAATCTTACCTTCTGGCTTGTGACTTTGGAGTCTGCTGTTTTTTGATACTCCCTCCATGAATGGTGCCCACATTCTCTGCGAAGGGACACACAGGGTAAGCCATTATAGAATACACACACATGTACATACGTGACATGACAGAACATATTCTCACCTGCTTGTTCCATGTCCTCACTTTCAGGGTTCTCTGGGTTCAGACCCGACTCTGGAGGGACGTTTTCTACATTTGCAACCGAATCTGTAACAATTTATTATTTTTACAAAATAATAAAAGATTCTCCCTTATTATGAACATTACACAGCTTTGCTTTAATTCCACATGGCTGAATGGTCAGGACTGGGTAGGGAACTTAGTGACATTAAACCCCCCGAGATTTTTTAACATAAACCAATACTGTAATGTGCACCTTACTGTAATCCATGGTTGTTTCCCTTCTCTTTGCGGCTCTTCCTTTTAAATCTGTTCTCATGCTGGGCAGAACTTCTGTTTTGCAGCAGACTGCCTTGTCTCAGGAATGGATACATGGTGTCTGTGTGTAGGTTCACAACCTGAGCCAGTACTACAGGAAGAGGCACTCAGCTGCAAAGGGAAGTTCTCCCCAAGCATGAGAAGACATGAGGATTTAAAAAGGAAGAGCAGCAAAGAGAAGGGAAACTACCATGGATTACAGTAAGGCGCACATTACAGTATTGGTTTATGTTAAAAAATCTGAGGGTTTAATGTCACTTTAAGCATATTTCCATTTTTTGTAGCCAAATTGGGACAACCATTTTATATTACATGTTCCCACTCACATAGAATAAACTTAAAAATATTTAAAACATGTTGCTTGCAGTTTATAATGCACTTACTAGGGTTAGGGTTTCTTGGATTCTTAAAAGGTTAAAATTTCTACTTGCTTCTCTACTCTACCTGCTTTTTAACTTAGGAGGGGCTTCTCCACTGTAAGTTAAAGTTAAATGAGAAAGAATCCTGAAGCTGGCCCATAGACCTTTAGATTATCCGCAGATTTTCTATGGTCAGATGGAAAAAATAGGATTTTGGTACTCACCGTAAAATCCTTTTCTCTCCGTTCATTGAAGGACACAGGGAACAGATCGGAGATCCTGTACTGTAGGGTAATATCGCCACCTGCAGGAGAAGGACGCTAGGCACAAAACTAAAAGACCAATCACAGCCTAGGGGCGGCCCCTGCCGGTGGCCAAAACCCCCCACCTGCTGACAAGTCTCCAGTTTAGTAACAAGCAGTAAAGGAGTACACACCCATATAGAGGGGCGGGCCCTGTGTCCTTCAATGAACGGAGAGAAAAGGATTTTACGGTTAGTACCAAAATCCTATTTTCTCTCCCGTTCATTGAAGGACACAGGGAACAGATCGGAGATCCTGTACTGTAGGGACGTCACAGAGCAGTACCAAAAAAAGAGGGGTGGGTCAACAGAAACAACAAACCCAACTTAAAACAAAAAAATCCCCTCAAACGGCCGCCTGCAACACTTTGCGCCCCAAACCAGCATCCGCAGATGCCAAAACATCCACCTTATAAAACTTGGCAAAGGTGTGAACAGAAGACCAAGTCGCGGCCTTACA